GCAAGTGCCTGCTAGGTTGGTTTACTCCTGAATTACTTCATGGAAATGCACGCCTGTATTTTTAGATCAGTCTTTTCGATGACAAACACCCCTCTTAAAATCAAGAATTGCGTGCGAACGTAGGGAAAGATTAAATTCGATTCAATTTTTTTATAATGCAATACATTAGCAACCCTCTCCTGTTAGAAAATAGATTCATCGTTTCTTCTTTTTTTGTTTTTTGTTTTTTTAGAAGGGGAAAATGACAGGAAAAAATATGTGGGTGAAATCAAGCTGTGATAAAATACCAGCGCGTGTGTCTGTTTAATTAAATCGCTATGAGTTGTATAAAAGCAAATAGTTTGATTTGCTTTCTTTAAAAGATTTTTTTCTGGCTTGTTTTGGACTGATAGACATGGAATCAGACGCCAAGCTTTCCGGTCTTTTGACTCAGAATTTAAAAACAAATGAAATATCAAGGTATGCTTCTTTTTTTTTCTGAAGAGGAGAACACTAAAGGATCAAAATTCCATTTGCAGAGGGTGGAAATTTGAACCAGTCAAATTGTTGAGGTTACAATTAACCCAGAATACAGCATTAATTAGCGGAACAAAATTTGACACCCTTACCGATCACAGATTAATTCGATACATTTAAAATTTCCCAGGGTTTTTCAGCTCTTCGTCATGCAAATAAAATATGAAATAAAATCTTTCTTGAAGTCAAATGTTTAAGCAACTGAAAGCATCAAATCGGGCATGGTCCTAAAAATGGCCTCCTCATTCACGACATGGGCGATCAAAGGTTTATATTGTTTTTAGCTCTAAATAGCTTCGTCCTGGGTATGACGATAAACTACATCCGCTCCCTGGGTAAGACAATAAACTACGTCCAACAGCAAGACCTATGATCAGGTGGTTTTGAGGAGCGTGGGACCACCTCTTAACTATTGGTGTTTCCAGGTCCAACCTGACCCGTGGTGGTAGTACCTGTTAGTGTCCCAACTATGGGCAAATAGTTAACCCAGAAACAATAACAGAAATACTTTGTAAAAAATTATTTCCAGCAGTAAATTTTTGAAGAATAAAATTATTACCAGCTATACATTTTTGGAAAAAAATATTACCAGCAATACTTTTTGCAGGAAAAATATTCCCAGAAATAGATTTTTTTTAAGGAAATTCGAAGGAAAAAATATTACCAGCAATAAATTTTGGAAAAAAAAATATTAGCATCAATAAAAATTTTCGCCATTAAATAACCAATTAAGGTTGATATGCCATAAAACAAACCAAAGCAAATCTAAATAGCTATTAACATTTAGCATCCTTCTTTATTCTTGTTTTGTTGCCCATTCAATAAACCTTGTTAAATAGATTACTCGCCATTTCATCCTGCTTCACAATATCATGCTAGTGTTAAATTCTCTAAGATTTTCTTCCACCGTCTCAGTTGTTTCTTTGTTGTGGTAAACCCTCCTACAGTAGAATGAACTCTTCCTCCTCTCATAAATACTAACTGTGAGAGTCGGTTGGGGAGCGGATACGCAGTCGCTGACTGTGTGCGGCTTCTGTCGAACTCTCTGCTTTGGCAGAGAGGAACCTGGACGAAGCTATGCCGAAGGGCAGAATTTCATCCGCTGAGGTCGACAGACCCTAAACCCGTTTATACGGGTTCTAAGGGAATATATTTGGCCGAGCCTACGGGCTCGCAGAACCCACCGTAAACTCGGCCTTGTGCCACATACAACCTTCGTGGGGGTGCTGTTAAATATAGCGGAGATGCAGTGTTAACCTACCGTTCGGACGTACACCTCTATCTGTTTACTATAGAGGTGGTTCGGCATTGCACGTGCTTGATTCAAAAATCGTTCGACTCATACAGCAATCGCTATCACTTGACTTAAAATATTTTTGCCCTTCCTTGCCTTTAAAGGAGTGCCCTTTGCCGTGCTGATGTTGCTACATGCCTTACTTCTTGCCTATCTCACACTGGGAATTTTTTCTAAGCTCTATACTAAACATTAAATCTGTTACGAAAAAAAAACTAAACAAAATGAACACAAAACGATCAGCTTAAAAAAAGGACTTGTAACTGGAAAAACCGAATGAAAAAAGAATGTTAACAACAAATACTTTTTCACACCCAACCCAGTTCTGCGGAATCAGAATCAACGTTGAGTTTAAGTAAGCGAATGAGCCAATTGGAGTAAAGTGCCATGCAGATTTAAATTTTTTCCACTTGTGACGAATGCAGCTATCGATTTTTTTTGCATGCTAACATGCTAGTTAACATTCGTGTCAGTCAGCTGTTGGCTGTCATGCTGGCCAATAGAATCTTCCTGCCTATTCGTGGCAGCCAGCTATAGGCTCTCACTCTGGCCAGTAGAAAATGGCCGCAAACTACATGAAAACTGTCGTAGAAGCATGAAAAATCGATTATTTCCACTATCGATGGGAGTTGAGAAATGCAAAGTCGGTCTTGGCCTTTCCGCTAACTTGGAGCATGTGCATGTAAATTTTGGTGCAAATCCGTCGAAAAGTGCTGCTGTGCATTCGTTACACACACACACACACATACACACACACACACACACACCTTTTATAGATAAATATTACTAACAACTCTTGCTTTGTATATATCTGTTAATTTCAATACACTTGTTCAACCTACTTTCGTTTTCCGTCTTCCTTTCTGGCCCCTGAACAGGCCACAACACTCCTTAATTGTTACTATCGGTTTCCTTGTAATCCCTATTTCCACTAAAACTTCCTCGTTCTCACATGATCTTTCCATTTTATTCCCGCCATTCGTCAGCTAAACCACGTTTCAATCAGACTGTCTATTTCTTGATTTTCTAAAGACATTGCTCTACATTTACTGCGATATGGAAGGCGAGATATTGAGTCGCTGTTTAACAATTTGTTGGTTTTTTTTGGGGGGGGGTATTCTGTTTTATGTGTAAGGACATCTTCCTATTTCTTAATACGTTGCTTAGATTCTGAAATACATGTTTCGCTATTTATAAGCGCCTTTGAACGTATTTGAATTTAACATCCCATTATGTATCTAACATCTTGCGCTGTAGTTTTCTTGCATTTAATAGTGTGTCTATTTTCTTAATTCCCTTTACTACATTGAATTATCCTTAAATTCTCTCTAATAGTATCTTCAATTTCCTTTCTGAGTCTGCCATTAAAACAGTGTCATCTGTATACATCATGGCGTCAAGAATTGTCGCCAATAATTGATTCCTGGTCATTTTTATAGATGTAGAAGTTATCACTTGACATGGAAACGTTTTGCCCATTAAGTAAACTTGTATAAATGAAAAACTGCTGCCTTAAACAAACCCAAAATATACACGCATACATACGAGGTTTGATCAAAATTATCGGGACAGTTGCTATGGTAACGGATCTATAGTACTCAGTTTGTATCCGCTTGGTACAAATTGACCTTTAACTAAGTTAAGGCATTCTCGCTCACATCCGTTTGTTATAGGAGTGCTTGGAAAGAAAGTGTGTAGGGTTTGGTCATCTCACTATACCACAGAGTTTCCATCAATTACCATGGCTTGCGCAGCAGTTTTTGGCTAAAGGCAACATTCTTCATGATCAATAGCCACCATATTTCCCAACTCTTGCCTCTTGCATCTTTTACCTTTTCAAAATTCAAATACCACTTGGAAGGAACAATATTTCGAGATGTTGAGGAAATTGAAGTGAATGCTTCCATCCTTGGTGCGTCTTCCATAATACAAGTTGCTAGCGGAGCGGCCATGTTTGCACTGTAACCTCAGCAACAAAACTGACTGGATCAAGCACAAACTTCGATCATGTGACCACAATAGTATCTACTATGAGGCAGAAGGCAGAGTAAGAAACCTAACGATGGTGAAAGTGCGGATAGATTTTAGTTAACCTCGTGTATATATACATATATATATATATATATATATATATATATATGCTGAACTCTCCCGTAGATTATCGACGTATGAGGGTCAAGCAGCTTAGTTCCTAGGAACCAACAGCCCAGACACCAACATGTGATTTGATTATAGTTGTGTAGAAACGACCAAACTTTTTGAAGGGTCGAATACAAAGACCTGGTGCACTATGTGCCACAAGGTCCCCAAACGACCCGCTGCAGGTTTTGAATTCAGAGTTGTTCTTCTCCTAGACCAGTTGCCATCCAAGGCTATAGAACCCAATCTGTCCTGCTATTTACCAATATGAAGAAGAGGATTCAAACCTTTCCCAAGACTAAATTTTGACAATTTTTTTCCTGTTACACCAGATAGATAAATATGAGGAAGTATAAATGTTTCATTTATATGTAGGTGAAATATATATATATATATATATATATATATATATATATATATATATATATATATTATGAAAGTAATATTTTCTGTTTAGTATTTTAAGAAATGTATACCAAGTAAAATTAGAAAAAAATAGATCTTAAATTGAAATGAGAATGGTTTTGGGTAATGGTTAACGAGCTCGTGTCTCTGACTGTTACTATGGACTATTAAGTTTTGTTATCATTATTTTACACACACCTGGGTTATTTTACTGAATCTAATTTTATCATAAAAATATTCCCTCCATAACTTGTTATTCAACCATCAAAGAAATTATTCAAATAATTTATCTCAACACGACATTGTCGTCTTGTGACTTTCGAGCTAGGAATGAATCAAACCGTCACTTGATATATTCTCATTAAAAAACTTACATTAAATATCGTCAATAAAGGGATATATTTAATCACGGAAAAATCTATTTAAAGGATTCTTTTCTTTTCCTCCTCCTCGAGAGAAGATTTTATTTTAACGACACAAAGATATTTTACTTACTCTGCATACATAAGTCATGTGACTTCTTCTCCTCCGGCACAACTTCCAAGACTGAAGAAATATCAGCAAACTGCGCGTGTTCATGAGTCAATGTATATCTCACCAATGGCCTGCTGGTAGATAAGTGTTTTTATCGAATCACTATCTCTAGAATTGTTGCCAAGCGGGCCCCAGAAACCAGTGTGGCGTTCCGTGTTGATCCTGGGTCCCCGCACAGGGCTACGGAAACCGGTTTTGCGTTCCTTGTTGACTCTGGGTCCCCGCACAGGGTTACAAAAACCAGTGTGGCGTTCCGTGTTGACCCTGGGTCCCCGCACAGGGCGACGGAAACCAGTGTGGCGTTCCGTGTTGACCCTGGGTCCCCGCACAGGGCTACGGAAACCAATGTGGCGTTTCGTGTTGACCCTGAGTCCCCGCACAGGGCTACGGAAACCAGTGTGGCGTTCCGGGTTGACCCTGGGTCCCCGCACAGGGATACGGAAACCAGTGTGGCGTCCAGTATTGTCTCTGGATCTGGAAAAATATATTTAAAGGATTCTTTTTCTTTTCCCCTCGAGAGTGCAGATGTGAATTTAACGACACGAAGATATTTTATTTAATCTGCATACATAAGTAATGTGCTTTCTCCGCCTCCAGCAAAACTTCCAAGACTGAAGAATATCAACGATTGCCCGTGTTCATGAGTCAATGTATATCTTACCAGTGGCCTACTTGGAGATAGGTGTTTTTATCGAGTAACCATCTCTAGAACTGTTGCCAAGCAGGGCTACAGAAACCAGTGTGGCGTCCTGTGGCGTCTCTGGGTCCCGATACAATACATGAAATGGTATTAACGAAAAAGGAAGATTTCTTTTCTTCGTTCGGTTTTTATTAGAAGAAAGGATCGAACGTGGCAGCTGATATTCTAGAATTTGGCAGAAAGTAAAAAAGAAATTCTCGAGGCTACTGAGTAAAAATATCTGTGGATCCGAATACGGTTATATATAGTTATTTTACTCAATATTGACTACACAATTATTTGTGGTCGATTATTATTATTACATTTACTCATTTACTATAGTTTGTTAATTTGATTTTTATTTACTTATTTTGTTTATGTATTCATTTAGATTTTTATATATTTATTTTTTTATATATTTATTTTTTCTTGAGGGTTGGTTATCATATTTGTTTAGATTAAAGTATCGCCAATTAATACTGATAATAAATGATAATGCTGCCAAAACAAAACACGCATGGCTTGAAGTTTCCATTCAAGAATAAAATAGATGGTCACCGCTTACTATTAACATCAATGTCCATGTACATATATATATATATATATATATATATATATATATCAGTGGTTTTCAACCTTTTTGCTGTAGCGGAACCACAAGGAAACATTCCAGTGGCTCAAGGAACCCCTGCAATAAATTAATTGTCTTATGCAAAAAAAACCTTTCAATTATTAAAATAAAATAAAAATACTAATCTTCAGATTTATTTACAAAAAAATACAAAGACAAACTGTAAAAATATTGTATACGATCATATGCAATTTTAATCTTGCTTCTACGGTTTTTACACATGTATTAACAAACTTCAGTTTAAATGGATTACATTTATTTTCATTAAAAATTTAATGAGAAATTTGAACCTGATGTTTCTTGCACAAATCTTTAATATTGGGTCGGGTTTTTCACAGACACAAACGAAGTTCATCTTCCACAGACAGCAATTAGGCTCGCTTCTTGTGCTTGATGGCTGTCAGAGCTGAAAATCCAAATTCACAAAAGTAGATGTTGAAAACTACATAAGAAGGCGCAGTGCTTTCTGGGTAATTGCAGGATATTACTTTTTAACCAGCAACCAGAATACATCCAGGCTAAACTCAGAATGCTTCAATTTTAATGTTCTGTCAAATGAAACACTGGCAAGTTCTTTTTCTTCAGTTAATGTAAACTGTACTTCAGATGGCTCAAATTCCACAAATGGGCTTCTAACCCAGTCATACTGGTCGACAGATATCGATGGAAAATATTTATCAAGATTTATTGACAAAGTGTCCAAACACATACATCTGCACAGGAGAATTAAAAATTACTGTCAATCGTAGTACTTGTGTAACTTCTGGCGGAACCCCTGGGCTTTACTGGCGGAACGCTAGGGTTCCACGGAACCCTGGTTGAAAACCACTGATATATATATATATATATATATATATATATATATATATATATATATATATATATATGTGTGTGTGTGTGTGTGTGTGTGTGTTATAATTATTTTTTTAAATATGAATCCATCGCGACACAGAAATTACTGTTTCGAAACGTGATTCATATCCTAAAGTTTAATTTCAATATTAAACTTAAAATTAAAAGTACAGTTTTATCCTCAAGTGACGTTTAGAATCAAAGAATCTAGAATGAAACTATACATAATAAATAATTATAATTTAAACTCTACTTCTGTATGGAGCACTGTTTTTTTTTTAACTAAAAGTATAAAAACGTTGGATCGTTACTCTAACTACTCTTTTCTATTACATCAATATATATATATATATATATATATATATATATATATATATATAGAGAGAGAGAGAGAGAGAGAGAGACAGACAGACAGACAGACAGACAGACAGACAGACAGACATATATAGTCACACAGAGACAAACCGTTTCGCAGCTCCTCAGTGTCGCTAGAAGTTCGATTGATTCAAGCCGGGTTCGAAACCCTATTGGTTTAGCATCATGTCAGAAATAAAAGAAATTTTAACATTTTTTTTCTTTGTATACGAAATACACCAACGGCTCGGAGAACTCAATTCATTTTTGAAGAGTAATGCTTATATGCATTGTATTATAATGCATATCATGCATATATGGTATATATATATATATATATATATATATATATATATATATATATATATATATATATATATATATATATATATATATATCGGATTCGGAGGTTTTTGTATATTATTTGAATTGTTTGCGACGATGGATTTCTCAATTAAATTAAATCATTAACCTTTGCTTTTGTTTTTTGTGTGAATAATTCATGAATTTGTAAATTGATTGCACGTTTATCGTAATATATATATATATATATATATATATATATATATATATATATATATGTGTGTGTGTGGTGGGGGGATAGACAGATAGATAGATATGTGTGTGTAAAAATGAAAGTGTTAGAAAGATCTGTACAAAACTCGCTGTATAGAGAAAATAAGAAGTTTTGGAAAACACCTGATGTTTTTTTATATATTTGTATGCCATGTTTATAATAAATGAAGTTTTACAGGGTATTATTAAAATCATTTTAATTAACCGGTTTCACTGTGTAGCGTTTGGAATGTTTGTAAATGTTTATCTCATTACTGCGTGCTGTCACTTAAGTTTGAAATAAAAGAAAAAAAACATGACGCTAACTGGTTTTATCTTGGTTTAAATTTGCTTATAAAAAATTCTTTCTTACTTAATGTGGTCTTGTAGTCGTATTTGTAGAATATTAAAATTTGATTGATTTTGTCCGCCTCATTCCTGTATATGTTGCATGGGAAAGATTTTCTAGTGCACAAATCCTTAATTGTTAATGATGAAATATCATCCTTCGTCGGAGTGCCCTGCCAGTTTGACCAATGTAATATTTGTGGCAACCTTTGTAAGTTATATATTAAGTTGCATGAGAGGTTATTTTTAATTCGTGGCCTCCAATAAGTAGCTTCATACTTAACAGCGAGTTCAGTTTTATCTTCACGTGAAGCTCTTTAATTGTAGTTTTGTACTCGTAGGTATCTTTGTTAGTGTTGTGGTAGAATCCACCTAATTTGCATAGTAGAGTACCGCCCATCTAAATATGGTTGGTACCGGGAAGAGAGAGGAATCAAAAGATTCACTCTCAGTCGAACTCTCTGCATTTTGCAGTGAGGGACCCGGACGAGGCTTTGCCGAGAGGCAGGGTTTCGTCCGGGGTGGTAGATAGGCCTTGAACCCATCTAGGCGGGTTCAGAAAGGCCATATTTTTGGCCGAGCCTACGGGCTCGGAGATACCCATTTTAAACCGGCCTTGTGCCACATTTTATCCTCGTGGGTGGATAGATAAATACAGGAATCAAGAGATTCAACCAGAGACTCTGCCCGACTGCGACTCAGTCAACACATTCTCCAGGAACGGTCTTACCAGGAATATACAAAAGACTATATGTAAATATTGTGTACACTTTCTTGTTTCAATACATTTTGTTCTAAGTACATTTTGTGTTGCATTATTATTCCATGCATTAGTCAAGTTTCAACAGTTAGTGATTTTGGTTGTCGTTTACTTTTTATGATCGGGTATTTTTGTAAAAGATTTTCATTTTGTTTGTCCTTTATTACGATCGGTTGGTTTAGTTGTATGTGTGTGTGTGCAGATTTCTGTGTTCTTTGAGTTGAAATTTGAAATACTACTTTGGCCAGAAAATCCTAACTCACATAGGAAGCGGAAAGAAAACAACAAATTCTGCAGTCTGATGGAATTTCCAAGTAGTACTGCATTTCGAGCTTGTTCCACACAGATGCACCATCAACCCTAAACTATTGTCAACAGCTAGACCGCGTACACAAAACACTAAAGGGGTATCTTGCTTTGGTCAATCGAGGTCTTTTTTTTTCAACAAGACATTGCAAGCCACACACTGCCAGGTTGACTAAGGAAAAGTTCACACAGATGGACAATGTTGTGATTCTTTCAAATCTACCATTCAGTACCGATGTTCTTTCGAGTGACTATGGCCTTTTCTGCACAATTTCTCCGCGATCAGTGATTCAACAATATCTTTGAGTGCGAGCGTGTGTGCGTGTATATATATATATATATATATATGTGTGTGTGTTTGTGTGTGTGTGTGTGTGTGTGAGTGAGTGAGTGAGTGTCATTCAGTACCGATGTTGTTCCGAGTGACTATGTTTTTTTCCGCACACTTTCTATGTGACCAGCAATTCAACAATATATATATATGAGTGTGAGCGTATATATATATATATATATATATATATATATATATATATATACATATATATATATATATATATATATATATATATATATATATATATATATATATATTTGAGTGTGTATGAGTGCTCATGTGTGTGTGCGTCTGTGCATTTCTGCCTCTGTGTGTGTGTGTGTGTGTATCTCTACTTCTATATACGCACCTCCTTATGTTTGATCTGAAAGCAAATGTTGCTTTTTTTTTTTTTAAATCAACGCATATGAAGCTCTAACATATTTTCAAAGCAAAATGCTGCCTCGTCCCAGCAATGGCGCTTTGGGCTGTATTTTCTGAACTGTTTATTGTATTTCTTCTTTATTTTTATTTTTTTTTATTTTTCATTTTATTTTACTTTTGCATATCTGTCTTTTCCCTTTCCCCCATTCTCTCCTTCTCTTTCTCCCCCCCGCCCCCCCCCCATCCTCAACCTTACGTCTCTGGCGTTCTCTTTCCGCTTCTTCGTAGTTCTTTTATCTATTCTCCAGTTCTTTCTACTCCTTTACATCTCATTCCGACACTCTTTCTTCAGAGGGTTCGAATATGTATTTTTCTGCA